CGGGGCGCACGGGGAACCGCGCCGCTCGGGCCCCGCCCCGCCCTGTCCGCAGCTGGGCCGGGGCTCGGCGGAGCGGACGGGGCTGGGGGGGGTGCCGGGCGGACCTTTGGGTAGGGGTCAGCCCTGCCCGAGAACGGGGCGCCCTGTGCGCTCCCTCCACGGGGTCCGTGCCTTCTGCGCCCCTTCCCAGGCCCCCCTTCCCAGGGCCGGGTGTCCCCTCTCCTGTCCCCTTACAGTCTCGTGTTCGGGGCCCACACGGGTTGGGGCGCTGGAGAGTAGTAGTCGGGGGTGCAACTCCCGGGCTCCCCTTGCTTTGGAATCGGTTGGGGAAGCTACGTTGGGAAACTGGGTGGATTAGTAGCACTCAGGTTAGATTGGGGCGCTTGTTTTTCCCCTAAAGAGAAAGCCGAAAAGAGGCCGGGGGAGTTGTTTTCTCCGTGTGCGCGTCAGTGTCCTCCGAGCCGCGCCGAGAGCTGGCAGTTGGCCTCTCCACTTGCCCAGCAGCCGAATTAGAGCAACCGCCTGTTCCTTTCGCCCACGCACGGAGTCATATAGCCCAGAAAAAACTTCCCGGGACTTTTAGCCTGTCCCAAGGAAAGAAAAAAAAAAAAAATTGGAAACATACCCACATGCAAACAGCTGGAAGAGCTAAAATCAGAAACCACTAACTGCAGAGGGAGCGCAGTGCGCGAAAGGGGTTAGTTGGGTTTATTTCAAGACGCCTCGTTTAGCAGCGCCTCGGTCGCCTTGGTGTGTCTTGTATTTGCTGCCCATCACCTACCTCGGGAGATCTGCTAGTACCGCCGGGCCTTGAGAGTACAGTGGCGTTTGTCAGTGCTGTGACTCAGGACTACAGAGTTAATTTATATTTTAAAATCGTGTCTATCCGGGAAATCCTGTCCTGTCCTTACACCGTAGGATCTGAAGGGGTTGAGGTCCCTTACTCCTTGGGGAGTATTCACTGATGAGAGTGCCAGCTTAATAATAATCTGGCAAATGAGGTTTTGTTTTTCTTTTTGAAATTCTCCTTTCCACGTTAAGAATTAGGAGAAAAATTAAGCCTATATAGTAGGAGAGAAGATAGCTTTAAAGACTGCGCCTGGTTCTGTACGAGAAAAATCCGCAGTTTGAGGACTGTTCTGGTTATTTCAATTTGGCAGTTTTCTGCTTTAGAAACGCAAGAGGCTAAGGGGCAGCTTTTTACAGAGTAAGGGGGAATGTAGCATGGGCCCACTGAGAAGGACTTGATAAATGTTTTGCTGGTGACTGCCGGTGATACAGCAACCTTTCCCCACCCACGGGCTTCTTAGCACCAGTCTACCAAGGGAGTGATTTTCCCTAAGGTAATTAAAGATCTGTTTTAGATAGGGATATGAATAGGAACATTTCATTATCATATTAGTCAATTACCGAATCTGCTGATTAAATCAACATTTAAATCAAATGTTGAATGTGAAATCGTTTTGTTGTTGTCCAGGGAATACTGTTTTCAAAACTTTGTATTTAAGTTTCCAGTGAACTACAAACAAGAGAAATCACTGAAATCCACCAGAAAATATTTTATATTAGCTGTTTCGGAAATATCTAGCCAAGGCAAAAAACCCAAACCAAACAAAAAGCCTTTTTACAGGCTTGCGCAGTTTAAAATTAAAAGAAAAAAATGTTGGATTTGAGCAGAAGTACGGTAGTTTGGCAATACTTTGTTACTGTAGTCTGTCAACTTGACTGCTTGTACAGGGGTGATACTGTATGATTGCATCAGAAAGGAATATATTTTGTTGCTTTTTTTCTCTTGATTTATATCTTTCCTAGATTGATTTGGGTGCAGTTTTTTTTTTTTTAATAAAAGACATTATGTAGACTATCATAGGCTTTTGGTGAACCAATAATTACACAATCGACAAAATAAACATGATATGTTTACAAGTAACACCCCAGAGTTTGCTCTAGTACTTTACACCCAGCTTGTTGGGGGAATTTTTAGTTTGTTCTTCCTGAGATATGTTAGGTAGATCATGAATGTTTATATCTCTTCTTTTTCAGACAAGATGTGAAATGGAGAAGTATCTGACACCCCAGCTTCCTCCAGTTCCCATAATTCCAGAGCATAAAAAGTATAGACGAGACAGTGCCTCAGTGGTAGACCAGTTCTTCACTGACAGTGAAGGGTTACTGTACAGTATCAACATGAATGTCTTCCTGCCTGACATCACTCACCTGAGAACTGGCCTCTACAAATCCCAGAGACCGTGCGTAACACACATCAAGACAGAGCCTGTTACCATTTTCAGCCACCAGAGTGAAACGACTGTCCCACCCCCTCCTCCGGCCCCGACCCAGGCCCTCCCCGAGTTCACCAGTATATTCAGCTCCCACCAGTCCACAGCTCCAGAGGTGAACAACATTTTCATCAAACAAGAACTTCCTACACCAGATCTTCACCTCTCTGTCCCTCCCCAGCAGGGCCACCTGTACCAGCTCCTGAACACACCGGATCTAGATATGCCCACTTCTGCAAGCCAGACGCCGGTCATGGACACCCTTAATGTTTCCATGTCGGTCGCCATGGCGGGCCTTAACACACACACCGCTGCTGTCCCGCAGACTGCGGTGAAGCCCTTCCAGGGCCTGCCCCCCTGCACATACACCATGCCGAGTCAGTTCCTCCCCCAGCAGCAGGCCACTTACTTCCCCCCGTCACCACCAAGCTCAGAGCCTGGAAGTCCCGATAGACAAGCAGAGATGCTCCAGAATCTAACCCCTCCTCCATCCTATGCTGCTACAATTGCTTCTAAGCTGGCGATCCACAATCCAAATTTGCCCGCCACACTACCAGTGAACTCACCCAACATCCAGCCTGTCAGATACAATAGAAGGAGTAACCCGGATTTGGAGAAGCGCCGCATCCACTACTGCGATTATCCTGGTATGTGTTCCTCCCTGGCTACGGGGTGACTGTGAGTGAGTGTGTGCGTGCGTGTGCTCGCCTTGTGCTTGCTCTTTCAGTCTTGTCCTTTAAAGTCACATAGGAACGTTTGTACTTGACAGTTGAAAACAAAAGTCACCTACTTTTTTTGTTCTCATATCCTATTTCATTGCTTTGCCCAGGGAGTAATTAAGGATTTCATGTATTTTGCTTATTTTAAGTTTTGAAAAAATGGTTAGAACATTGTGGGGAAAAGTTACCTTAAACTGTTTTGTTTTTGATAATGAAAATTTTAATTTCATTTAATTATTTTAATAAATTGCAGTATTACATTCTAAATGAAGTGCCAGGGAGAGACCCTTGGTACTGTAGGTACAAGACTGTCCACAGTATAGATTTAATAATTGATGGTTCTGATAGCATTTGTTATGGTATATGTGTCCCAGAATATAAATTGATGACAGTAGTAAATATGTCTCCAAATTGCTGGTCTAGGCTAGTTATGGTTAATGCAGGGCATAATTTATTGACTATGGTACCTGACATGGCATGACGTGCTAAATAAAAAAAAAAAATGTAGGTGTATAGAAAACTATAGTGGTAATGGTCTTGGGTAATGGTCTAGTATTGTCAGCTCTTCTATTAAAAACATGGCCAGGCTTGGTGTTATACATGTATAATTCCAGCACTCTGGAGGCTGAAAATGGGGATCACCACAAGTTCGAGACCAGCCTGGGCTATGTAGTGAGTTTAAAGCCAAACTGTATAGTGAGACTGTTTCTCAAAAAAAAAAAAAAAAAAGTATGATAGCTCATTAAATCAATGGAGTATATATTACTAGTAAAAAGAACCTACTGGAATATAAATTCAGATTCCCCATTTGTCACTTGGCTAAATTACCTGTGTTTTTCCCTACTAAGTGATTTTGGAAACAAATCACTTTATGCCTTTAGCCAGATAATGGGTTGAGCTCCTTAAAGATTTTTAAGCCTGTGCTTAAAATATTTCATGTAGCATGCAATTTCTTCTCTAAAGCCAGATTTTAAACACTGAATCATCAAATGTAAAGATTTCAAAAGACTCTCAATGACGAACTGTTCTTTCTCTCCTTTATTTTAGGTTGCACAAAAGTTTATACAAAGTCGTCTCATTTAAAAGCTCACCTGAGGACTCATACTGGTATGTAATTTTCTGAATTCTGTGAGTTGTGTAAATAATGTAAGTGGTATTCATCTTTTTAAAAGCCAGCACACGTTTGATCTCTTTCTTTCTTCTGTCAACTTCTATTTTTAATGGCCTACCTTTGCAGCACTGGCTTGGTTCGAAACGCATGCCATGAGAAAGTCTACTTCTACTAGGAAGGTGGATGACTGCTTACAGGGGTCTTGTCACCTCACAATGAATTACCCAAGAACATAAACAACAGTGTTTACTAATGGAGCTTTTAAAAATCTTTAATGGTGATTCTATTCATGTTGAAAAAGGGTTTTTTTTTTTTCCCATAGTAAATAATTTTCTTTTAACAAAGCCATTTTATTATTTATTTATTTATTTATTTTATTTATTAGTGGAACCTGGGATTGAACTCAGGCCCTTGCGCTTGCCGGGCAAGCACTTATTCTACTGAGCCATCTCCCCGGCCCAACAAAGCCATTTTAAAGACTAAAAACTTTTACATTTAGCAAGTACAGCATAAGTGCTTAATAACGTTTTACCTTTATATCCCCTGTTTAAGATATTTGTGTTTGCTATGTTTCTGTGCTAGACTGAAGGCCTAAAATTGAGGAGCACTAAAATCAGGTGGGGAAAATAGGTTATGGTTGGGACATAATTGTATCCCAGCCTGTATTTGATGTATATGAGAGGCTTAATCATTATTCTAGTTTATATTTCGTCTTCCTTTGAAACATCTCAATTTAGCCTCTTTAATTTTAGAAGTTTTTGTTAAATCCATAGCAATCTCTTATTTGGGGATTTTTCTTTTTTTTTGTTTTCCTGTATTTAGGACAGGGTCTACAGGGTCTCACTATGTAGATTGGACTCCTGGTGATTCTCCTGTTTTCAGCCTCCCAAGTGCTGGGATTACAGGTGCATGCCACCACACCCAGTCTCAAGTGCCCTCTCAGCCTGCCCCATGGGCAGGGCCAGCACAGTGGGCTAGGAATCGAACCCCAGCAGCTGTACTCTAAGCAGGCACTTTAGTCCATCGATCCATCAAGCCAGCCTTCATATAGCTATCTCTTTTAGAAGCTTTTTAATTTTAAAACTTCTTTCAGAACCCATTTTAAGATGCAGCTAGGTAGCACTTTTACAAAAGGTACCACATACCTATAACATTTCCAAATATATAGATGGTTACTATTTGTAATTCTCTTTAAAGACTAGCCCAAAGAGGAAGACCTTATATAAAATGATTATACTTTTTTCTTCAATAAATGCAACCTTACCTAAAGTTCAAAGAATAAGTTTGCTAATAACAGCAGTGACCTAGCAAAAGTATTATTCCATCATTGCTATGGAAACCAAAGTATTCAACGGTTCCTTTGAATGGGTTGCTGGATTAGTGTGCGGACTTGAATCTCCCCAGGCTAGATGTTACTATGGAAATTGGGTTTTGATAAATGGAGTAGTTATCTCTAACCGCTGCATTAAAAAGTAAAAGCCTTTGAACAAAGGTCAGTGCTGAGACAGAGCTGTGAGGAGTATGGCTGCATGCGATTGTGTGCCTGGTGGGAAGTCCTGCTTGCTACCCCAATGATAAACACTGCTGTTACACTCCGAATAGCGCTGGCACAATGTGGTAGGCACTGGGCTCTTTGAAAAACTGCTTTTTAAAGAAAAGTTATCTCCTGCATTTACCTATAAAATGAATGGGTTGTTTTGGCCTGAGCTTGTTAGATGTAGACAAATTGATTGTATAAAAGGGAAGATCCTACCTACATACGCAATCCAAGGGAGGAATTACGTTTTCAGTTAAGCACCAGAGAAAGAATGAAAACATATAATAAAATTCAACCTAAAGTTTTCAAAATACAAATGCCAGGAAAGTATCCCATGTAAAAATCTTAAAATACTCTTATAGGCCATAAGTTTTTGTTAAGGGGAGTTAGAACTCGCTTAGAAAATTTAAAGAGGTTTTTTTTGTTTTTGTTTTTTCTCATGCAAGTCCTCCAAATGAGATAGGAAGGAGGGAGAAAAGTACACTTTCATGGGGCTAAAGTCTGCTAATAAAAGAAGAGCGCAATCTCACAGAGTGCTGTTAATCAGCTGCTTATTGCAGGGGTGTAGGAGGAGCCCTTCCACCCTTGTCAAGGTTTAGTGCTCTGAATGCTTGTACCTAGGATTCTGGAACTTGACTTGCTGGCAGAGAAATTTAATAGTGGGCTGTCTGCACAATGCTCACATTAACTAATAAAAACACAAAGGAAGGAGGATGCAGGCTCTGTGTGAATCCCATGCACCGAGTCTTTCACGCGATCATAAACACTGGCCCCCAACATCTAATGGGTGAGACATATAATCTGGTTTAATAAAGTTGTTTGATAGTCTTTCAAACACCGGGGAGGGTTTGTACCCAACTCGCTCATCTGGTTAAACCCGTTTTTGGGTAATCATAGAGCATTGAGGATGTTTTCTCTTCATTTCTGGTTTCTAGACAATGGCTTTTAAAATTGTGCTCTCATGGCCTTCCCCCCTCCCCACTGCTGATGGCCTTCAGAGAGTGTGTCTGAAGCCCCCCACCCGCCTGCCTTTATAAAGCCTTCCGTAGAGGAGTCTTCCTAAATAACTTCTTTCATTTACCAGCTTGTTTTGTTTGTATCCCCTTGCTTCCCACGTGGACAGTCTCTTAAAGAACTTCAAAAATTATACAACAGTGTTGATCTTGGGTTTGATGACAAAAGATATTCTTTAAATGCTTGCAGGTTTTCAGGGAGAATTTTAAGCACCCTAGCATTTCTTTAGGAAATAATTGTAATTGCTTTAAAATGTCAAGTTACTGTATATTGGAAAAATGATTTTAGCAATTCTAGCAGCCTACATCTGAGTTTTGTTTAATTACTCATTCTGGAGCTTTAGACTGTAAAAAATTCTTTACAATATTTAGGTTTCAAATTGAACCTTAAGCTAATAGTCTTTCCAAAGCAGAGCCTTTTTTAGGGAAACAGGATTTGGGTGTGTAGCTCAGGCTGGCTTGGGATCATGACTTTCCTTCCTCAGGGATTTCAGGTGGGAACCCCCACACCTGGCCTTTTTTGTTTTTAAATTTGGAATCAGTTTCTTAAATTACAAGTATCATGGCATTCAGAATTTGAGTTCATGCACATTTTAATTTTTTTTCAAAACATACATTAATAACCCAAAGTTCTGCCTTCTTTTTGTATGGGCAGACAGAATTCCTGGAACATAATTTGCCTCTATTTTAGGGAATAAAATTTCATCCCTGGATATCCGTGTAAGAGACACAGCCTACTTGCAGTCCCCTTATGTGGCTGGGTGTTGGGGTGCTGTTTGTACCACGTGTATGTACATAGTTACCGTGGCTCTCCTTAGGAATGGTTATGGTAGTTATGGCTGATTCTCAACAACAGTATCAGTGTGTGATATGTTTTCAAATCAAAACATGTACTTTCTGTAAATGGGGAGGGGAGTGGAATGGGAAAAAATCAAGTCATGTCATGTACAGGCAAACATTCTCTATGATGATGTGTAAAAATGCGCCAATAAAATCTGGTCGGAAACAAAAAAAGAAAAAAAAACTGAAGCAGCATTTCAGTGAATGTTTTACAGCAATTCTTAAGAGTGTATACTAGGGCTTTGCCCACTGCTGCTCTGAAATGGACCTTCTGGCATATGAATCTACATGGCCAGCGTACTGTTTCATGCAAACAGCTTATAGGCTTTATGTGTGTAGGCCACACTGTCTCCTCCCTTAGTAGGAATAGTGCTAGGCAAGTGTTCTACCCTTAAGCAACACAGTCCATTTTCTCGTATATTGTAATGAAGATTTACACATCATTTTTCAGCTCCTGCTTTGTGGAACATGGGAAATTAGCAGGTCTACAAAGAAAAGTCTGAGCAACACATAATATACTTGGCTCAAGTAACCCTCAGACTGGGGCCCCAGGTACCCTTTATCGTACCACAGGTTGACAGTTGGAAACACTCCCACAAGAATGCAAACAGAAATGTCATACAAAGTAGACTTTTTTGTGTAAACCGCTCTATTCAAGATGCTCTGTTTAAGAAAGAATTCCATGTCAAGTCTTGAAAGTATTTTTTTTCCAGTAGATTTTTTTTTTTTTTTTTTTTTTTGGCGGAACTGGGGATTGAACTTGGGCCCTTGCACTTGCCAGGGAAGCGCTTATTCCACTGATCTATCTCCCCGGCCCCTTGAAAGGATTTTTAGCCTGTATCATTTTAAAAAGGGGTGGGTTTCTATGTTCTCCCATTCCTTACTTGTATATTGTATTACTCTATGACACGATATACTTCAAAATAATCTCTAAATTTTAATTTTGCTTTCTAGTTGGATATTAAATCCTTAGGAAGCAGGTGTGTTAGTACACATGTAGGGCTCTGAGAGGCTGGAAGGCCTGAAGGCTGAGGCAGGAAGGGCCTAAGTACAAGCCCAGCCCCTGCATAAATAAGTTTAGTAGTCAAGACACTGTCTCTCAGAGAAAGGAATGGGGTCTAGCTCAGGAAAGGCCCTGAATAAATTTCTTAGATTTTTGTTTAAAGACAGTGTCAATATCAAGGATTTTTATTACAAGCAATTCACCACTGAAAGAAATATATATTTTTTAAACATAAGGTCTCACCATTATGTAGCCCAGGCTGGCCTTGAACTCATGGCAATCCTACATCAGCCTCCCTAGTGCTGGGATTATAGGCATCCGTCATCATGCCTAGCAACATTTGGAATGTTCTGGACATAAAGTTACTGCCTTGGGAGGGGGGAACTAGAAAAGGAGTACAAAATCTTTTTAAAAACTATAGGAAAGATTTCATTTCAGGCCTACTTGGAGATTGTACCATTTGGATCTAGTGTAGTAAAGTGTTCTACATTTAACCTGTTTTATCTATATTTAACCTGTTTTATAGGAGGAGGAGATAATATAGAAAGAAGTTTGCAGGATAGATTTAGTATGCAGTAAATTTGAGTATTTAAAAGCTATGAA